CATCTCTGTGGCAATGACCTTTTTATTTCAAACTTCCTCTTCCATTTTCTTTTCCTTTCAGATTGACTTCTGCTTGGCAAGGTGCAGAAGGAGAGACATAATGGCAGGTTCAAGCATAACTGTTCCATGGGACCCAAGGGGGACTCTGGAATCAAGAAATCAGTCTTGCATTTTTTACCAGCAGGAGCTGAAAGAACTTAAGGGCAAGGAAAATGGGTGCAAGAGTTAGGGTCCAAGTGCTAACAAATCAGCAAAATGACAAAGTTGCCATCAGTGGAGCTGACCTAAGACATTCAACCAGCAGGCTTGGATTCTGTCTTTTCTGTATTAGTGTACTATAAGCCTAACAGATACTTGAGACAACACTTTCCAGTGAAGTGTCTCTTTTTTAGGCAGAAAATGTGCTTTCTGCAAAGACTGCAGATTGCAAATGCATTTAGTGAGAAATACATGTGTACAAATTAACTTTTTGTGGTTTCACAAGCTCTACTGAAGAACCTTATGAGGAGAGACAGAGAGCTGGGCCTGTTTAGTCTAGAGAAGAGAAGATTGAGAGAGGGTCTCATCAATGCACATAAACAGCTCAGAGGTGGGTGCCCACAAGATGATGCCAGACTGTTCAGTGGCGTCCAGAGCCTGGGAAAGGAGCAATGACCATAAACTAAAATACAAGAAATTCCATCTCAACATGAGGAAGAACTTTATGTTGAGGGTGGCAGAGCACTGGAGCAGGCTGCTCAGGGGGATTGTACTCTCCCTCTCCAGAGACATTCAAAACCCACCTGGATGAGTTCCTGTGTCACCTGCTCTGGGTGACCTGATGGGATGGAATAGTAGAGTTTGAGAAAAATACTTCAAAATAAGGATTATTCTGGGAGCCTTCTGCCAGCATTACTCTTTATAGCAAAAATTAAATGCTGCACCTTCTATTTTCAGTAACACTTCTCTTGTTTTCTTCTCAGTAGATCACAGTACCTGAACTTGAAAAAAAACCTTTTTTTGGTTCTTTTAAACACGAAATTATGAACTTAAAACCTGTAAATTTTCTGTTTTTAACATCCTGTCTTTGTTGCCTATCAAATTGAAATTAGGACAACAAGAATCTTGAATCAAGAAAGTAAATTTTAGTATTGTACCCCTATTTTAAAGACAGAGATATAAAGAAACATACCAAGACGTATTATTAAAAGCTTTCTCTGAAGGAAATTTTTCACCATTTTCTCTTGAGAATGATTACATAAAAGGACATGGCAGATGTGACCTACTGAGGTGGTGGTAATTTTCACGAAGGTTTAGTAGGCTTGGAGTACACTCTATTGTGCAATACTTGACTGATGCAGAAGTCAATGCTTTTATTAAGTACTTAAAGAGATGAGATCAAGAAAGAATCTGCACAGATTTCATAGTATATAACATTGAGGGGATGTTTTCTAGATTAAACATTTCAAAGTACAGAAATAAATATTCTGTTTTTATCTAGAGTTTCAATTTAATTGCCATATTTTAAATAAAAACATCAGCAACAGTAACAGTTGGAGGCGATTCCTATTAGCCTAGGAATAATTATGATTCCAAATAGCCACCAAGGGCTGTAACTCAGAAGTTTCATTATGCCTTCTCCTGTTCAGAACACCTGCCTCTACTTTTCTTGGGCCATCTCTACAACCTTACTCTATATGCAGGCAGCCAGCATCCACCTACAATGCTACCATCATTATCCTGACTGCTTTATCCTATATCTCTTCAATGTTTTTCTACCTCAGATTTATGCAAAAGCTTTTGAAAAAACACTTGTATGCCCAGGGTACTAAATGTCTCAGTCATTTTTAATTTCTGCACTTGATTACACCAAAATCACTGTCAAATTAAGTATCATATTTGCAATTTAAATTATTCTAATTACTCATTTTAGCCCACATTACTTTTGGAGACTTACCCTTAGTTGGTGAACTTCCTGTGACTGTACAGCACTTACAGAACACAATTCCACCTTAATGGCATACAAAGGCCACACTTAAGTTATTCAACTATGAATATATGATAATAGAATCCAATTGACTGTATTTACTATTTAACTCTCCTGTTCAAACTACACTGTTTATCTGTTTTAAAATCTATTTAAGGAAACCAGTAATTGAGATGTTATTTCTATTGTGCAATTACTTTTTTTTAAAGTTGCCAATACTCAAAAAAATAACTAATATACTATCTTTGTTTGTCTCATTTGAAACAGATATTTTAGGGAAATATTTAAAATTAGCTTGTTAACTTTTCCATGCATTAAAAAGCTGAATGGGAAAAGGAGAATTGCTTTCCTTCTTGAATAGAGTTTCCATTTTATCATTGACCTATCATTTACCAAACACAGCATACCATACAGACAGCAACACCGTAAGTAATGTTTATGGAACAAATGGAAATTCTGTTGATTATTTTACTGGAAAAAATGCAGTGCAGCACAAGGACAAACTAATCTGCAGCAATTTTCATCAGTTGAAAGCCCAAAAGTGCTGCAGTGCTGAGGTTTCTTTTGCATAAGAACTGAAAAGCTATGGTTGGTTGTATTATTAAAGATAATTCTACATTCCTCATGGAAAATCTCATATGAAAGAAGACTCACATGTAGATAACCAAATATATTTGGCTTAGTGAATCAGTTCAGGAAAAAAGTAAGGAAAAAGAGGAAGTGCTTGATTTTATCCAGCAGCCCTGCAATGTTCAGAAAGACAAAATTAGTTAAGCTGATAAATTCTGTATATAATCTAGACTTCCTAGCAGCCATCCGTCTCTCCTCATATCCCAATCTGATTTTATCTAGCATCTCTAATAAGTGATTTACTGGTTAAGGTTTACTATTTTTGTATCTGTGGTATTAAAATGATATTGTGGAAGAGGTTTTGTCACATTGAAAGCTGGAATCATACAAAAAGAGATTCTAGATTCTCAGTGAACACTGGACCTGCTGGATATGAAGGTGAAAGAGCATATCCATTTCTAACATGGCAACAGAATTTCTTCTTTGATAATGCAGTATTGTATTGCAGTATTTGACAGTGCTTTCCTATATAGAGGTGGTTATTTTCATATTCAAATTTGCAAGATTTCATTGCTTTCTAAGCAGTGTAATCATATCCCTTTTCACTCCAGTCACTCTACTCATGTACCCACCCTATTCTTTCCATTCTTTATATTTGACTTCTGAAATTCTGACATCCTATTGGGCTATTAGATTCTTAATTAAAAGAAAATGAATTTAAGTACCCTTTTTATCCCCTCAGATCTCAGTGGTATCAGGATTTGCATTTGCAATGGAATCTAATATGGTGTCAGAAGACTTTTGCTGCCACTATTCTCAGTATTTTATGCCTGTTAAGTTCCTAGCAGCCTCCTGAGCTAGAGAACACAAGCAATTATGAAAACCAAATATGGAACTTTAGGTGTTCCCAAGTACCATTTAGATATAAGCCCAAATAAACAGTCCAGGAAGAAAATACTATATATTTGCATTTTGAAAGCACACAAACTTGCAGTAGGTTTTTTTGAAATAAAAAGTCTTAAGAGAGACACGGCAGCAACCATTTTATTTAGAAATGCAAACAAAGGTTCAGAGAGCTTTTTGGTTTGTGTGTCTTATTAACTAGATCTAACCATGTCCCCATTTAGTGTGGGACTTTTAGGTTACCCTTTGGAGACACATAATTCTAGCATTCAAAATTACCTTTGTTGAACAATATGGCAGATTTTCAGGTGGCACAATACTGAAACTGTATGACGTCTCTAGATCTTTCTTTTATTTCTAATTATTTATGCTTTGTACAATGCTTAGCATTGTGAAATATATTTATGAAAAGCATAATTCATATAACACTACAAAACATAAAGGAACTATGTCACATAATAGAGATTAAATATTATATATAAAATATATAATATATATTAAAATTAACCGAGCATTAACATCCATACTGCATTAACTCCTGTTAGAGAAAATAAATAGTCCTCTTAGTTTGTCCTGCTAACAGTTTATTCTCTGAGTAGTATCAAAGATAATCTACCAGTCCTCAAACTTCTCAAGTCTGCTATTTTTGACAGCTAGGAACAATTCTTGGTATTTTCAGTATCAAATTGTGACCTTATGTGCTATGATTCTATAAGTGAAGTACCAGAATTTATCAAGTTTCACCTTTCAAAGGTCTGGGTAGACTTATAAAGGAATATAAAATAGAAGTCTTGTTTTATTTTTTCACATACTTTTAGAAGCACTCTGTTCTTATAAACAGGAAAATTGTATCTGCTAGCAAGACTCAGCACTATGAAAAGTATTTACAAGTAACTGTAAAAATAAATGTACATGAGGCCTGGTGAAGAAAAGCCATTAGATTGAAAAGAGGGAAATACAGGTAAACAGTGAATCCTGCATTTAGGTGGTCTAACTTAAATGTTGTTCAGTTAATAATCAGTTAATCATGAAAATGTTTATGTAAAGTAGCAACAAGAGGACTAAGCTTTCTTCATACAATAAAGAGAAAATGAAACTAAAACACCTATACCCCTCACTCTATTTCATATGTATTATGTACAGAATAGCATATATTATTCAAAACTTTTTATTTGACTTCTTTCACAAAAGACTGATTCTGATTTTTTTTTGAGAGGTCTTTATTGACCATACTCAGAACCAGTAACGTTTTTCCTAAAGTAATTTTCTTTATTCTACTATGCAGGCAGAAATTTTTCTAAGGAAGAAGCTACATACAATTATCCTGATAATATGCACAGAATTAAAGATTAAAAATTAGATTAAAAGGTACATACAGAATTGTCTTCTTACAGTTTGAAGTTCATCTTTAGATTCATAGCACTGTGTATGAATCACCCACAATCATCTCTACTTTCAGAATCATCCGACTGTTTGCCAATGGCATGTATTAATCAGAGTCTTATTTTCAAATATTACACTTGAGATGGAATGATATTTAGGCAAAAATGTAAAAGCTTACCTTCAAAAACTCTGAATGCTTTCTTGCAGCTTGGTAGAGGCCATTTAGCAGAATTGGATTTTTGAAAATTTTCCTTTACATTCAAATATTCCATAGGGAAAAAAGATCTGGTAGAGTTATTCAGATCTACAATAATTAAGGGGAAAGAATACATACATCAATGATCTAAATAAAGCGGTAATTTACATAAATTTATACAAAATAAAAATGTCATATCTACTGTGTAATCCTTCTTCTGATTATAACATCTAATTTTTTAAAAAATCACATTTACCCAAATATTTCCATATATAGTAAGAGCAAGTCTTAAACAATCTGTTACTTCAGAAAAAACATCATAAAAGATGATGCCAAGTTCTGGCAAAATTATTTATTTAAGAAATCAGGCTATTTGGAACTTACAAAACTATGATGACCTCTATGAATAAAAATTATATCCATAGAAATGACTGTGTCATTAATGCTCAGTTCATATTGCTTTTTGTTTAACCTCAACACTCAGTAATAGTCAGTAATGCGAAGGAAGAAGAACAGTCTGAAATGCTTTTTAGATTTTAAAAAATACTTTGGATTAACAGGAACTAAGAAAACATTTGTAGGATGATTCACGACACACTGGAGGAGTTGGCATTATGTACTAATCTCAAGGAATCAACATCTTCTCACGGTATAATTTGTGGAAATACCTACATGATTGCAACTCAAAACTGCCAAACTAATCTATCCATAGCAATGCAATGGAAAACAATTTAGAAACAACAATATTTTACTACCACAGAATTGATCTGCTGATAACAAACAAGGTTTCTAGGCTAGTAGTTAAAAGGAAAAACTTCAACCTCCTGGCCATCAAACCCCTGCACAATTTGTGTCCCCAAACCAAGTTGGCTCCAGATAAATAGTAAGAGTAGCTCATACCATAATTTTTTCTGTACCTTCAAAGAAAAAGAAGACATTCACAGGCTCTTTGGGAAGGCTTGTGTTTTAATACTTTATGTGGTCCAATATAATGGAACACACTAATCTAATAATAAATGTGTTATGGAAGGATAAATATTTTTCTCTGGCAAATTTAAGAAAGCTAAGCTTCTTGTGAGCAGACTCCAGAAAGAAGAAAAAAATTCCTTTGGTTCCAGTAGCCTTTTCTGTATAAGAGGAAGACATTAGCAGATTTTAAGTAAAAACCCCATGCTGGTCTGATTCTAAAAATTATCCTTTATTTCACCATATCACAATGCAGGTGGAATGAGGCTACACAATCCATGAAGAGCACAGAATCTTCGAATCCTCTATCTTGTTATGTAAAAATAGAGCTACTGCACATATAAACTGATACCATTGAAGGAAAAAAGCCTTTTCCTCTACTAAATGTAAAATGAATAAACTGTGTATTTTACACTAGTGTTTCTTAAATTTTTATGAAAGAGCTTTATATGCTACAGAACATTTTTGGATTAAGTAGTATTCAGATTCAGGCTTCTGATGAGACTCTGCTTGCCTCTCACAGCACAGACAGAGAACATTTTAATTTCCTGCTACAGACCATAGAAATCAACACAGTTCTTTCAATTTTATTCAAATTTAAATATTGAAACCTCTGGTGAGGCATCTAATTCCTGTTTTTCAGAAAAGGCAGTGGTGACAAGTCTCAGTGGTTTCCAGAAGGCTGCTTGGCTAGGCTTGCAGTGGAAGATCCCCTCAGGCCTGGCCAGGTCACCTGTCCTTCTGTATGTATGTGTCCCTCTTTCCTTCCTGCCAAGTGCCTGGACCTCCCTTGCACAACCACTACCCTCCATCTGCATTTCTCCAAAGTGGTGGATTTATTGCACATGTGTGTCAGATGTGGCTCTTCTTGCAAACAACAGAAATTAAACTTCATGAATGGAAGTGTAGAAGGTCACTTTTCAGGTAAGTGAAGCATTTAAAAGATACTTGGTAACTCACAATCAGCTCAAAAGCTATTTTCTTAGGTGTATCCTGGGCATGCTATCATTTAATGAGATGTGAGTTCATTCTGATGGGAGAAGAGCTTCTAAGAAAGCCTTTAAGAAAGATGGGAATGCATAGTAAACACCATCAGAGCAACCTATCTGGGATGCAATTCATGCTTAAGGGATCCTGTAAGAAAGGCTCAGTTGATCAAGGCAACTGGCCAGAGGAATTACCCTCATGAGTCAAATATGGCTTTGTAGCTCCTGGTTAAACACTGTTTTGCTCCATAATTGATGGATAATTGACCTCTTAGCCTTTTATTTTTTACACGTTATATGCATCCTTCTGTTGCAGTTCTGTTTAGTCTGAAAAACTGTATAAGCTAAAAAGTGAACTTCTGAATATATCCAATATATCTGAATATATTGTTTTTCTTTTTGACATATCTTTGTAAAATAAACGCATATATACAAATGGAAAGCTGCAGAAAGCATCCAAACGAATTCAGCGAGGGAAATAAAACATCCCAGCTGCACCATTAGAGAAGGATGTAAAGACTACAAGCAACTTTGCTTTGCTGCCTGCACAAACCTATAGCAGCAGTGACTTTAGAATAACTTTAAAAAGGTTTAATAATTCTTCTGAGTGAAAAAAAAATTATTATGCTCTACATTGCTCTGGCACCATCCATCTTCTTAATGTGCTGATATTACTAATTACTCTAAGTATATGATATCATCATCAACATGCCCTAATTTAATTTAAAAGTTGTTTGGTATGTTATGCACTGGAGAATTTAAAAATATTTTTCTTTATATATATATATATATATATATATATATATAAAATAAAACAAAGCTACATTAGCATACCTATTTTTAATTATATTGCTAAGTCAAGCACATAATGCTATATCCTGAATGGCAATATACAAATAGCTGCAGATTTCTCTCATCTGAAGTTCTTAATACAAAGCATATACTGTTATGGTCCACTATTTATAGTGGACTCTATTCACTTATCTATGACACCATAGTCACATAAACCCTTTCCCTCAAAAAAGCTACATACCTATTTAATACTTAACAGAGTGAGTAATGTTGAAGGGATGTCTTGAGAACAGCCAGTCCAACCTGCTCAAGCAGGGAAAGCTGCACTGGTGCCCAGAACCACATCTGGCTGTGTTTGATGGGTATTCCACAATGTCTCTGACCAGCCAGTTTGACACCCTCACATGAAAAAAAATGTCTTCAGATGGGATCTCATGCATTTCAATTTGTGCCAAATGCTTCTTGTGCTGCAGTGAGCACTGCTCAGAAGAATCTGGCTCCTTCTTCTTCATTCTCTCCTACCACGCATTTTTACACATTTTTACATTGTTAAGTACTTAAAGGCTACAGATAATCCTGGTAATATTTCACTTAGATGACTGTAACATGTTGAAAAGTTTTGCAAATACATTTTAGGAAGCATCTTTATTCTTCTTTTGTGCTCTCCCAGTAGTAATTTTCTGCAGCAAAACTGCTTTTTAAAAATTTAAATAGCCCTAGAAAAACCTAACTCTCTATCAGTGAAACACACTTCATCTGTACATCAAATTGAAGGGAGCATCAAACATTAGGGAAATGAAATGAAATGAAAACAGCTTGAAATCTCTATACACCAGACAGGCAGGGGGTTGAGAGTGCTCGGGCTGCAGCTTTCCATCCATTTTCTCTGCTGCAGTGCAGTCAATGCAGGGATAGCCAGTCTTTATCCCTGGCGACCAGCAGCTGCTCAGTGAATCATCTTGGGGCAATAGGTTCATCTGGAAAATGCCTCCTTCCCACCCAAATGAGTTCTTGTTTATCCCAGTCAGTTCCTCAAACTGACCTGCCATCAAATCATATAAAGTTATGCCTGTACAGAGAGAGTCTGTGCACAACCAGAAACAGAAGGTGGGAAGCTCTGCTGATCAATGTGAAATCATACTTCAGTCTGCATGCCTAACCTGTCATCATCACAGCACTCACAAGAGCTTAAGAGGATCTCTGCAAGATCTCTGTAGCATCTAAAATGAAACAAACACTCCTGCATGGCTGAGTCATTTCCATTACTTTGTGATCATTCTGTGCACAGTTTTAAGTGCTGTAAATGACCTAACTCCAGATATCATAGTGCAATTTTATCAATGGTACTTGAATCTACCATATAAGCTTTGGACATAAAAGACTGACTCACACTGTTCCAGATATTCTATCTGCAGGACTACTTACCCTCTCCTATTTCTATACCCAATCTGACACCAAACAACCCCTACCCACCATATTTTTCCTACTGTTAAGAGTAAGGAACACTAGAGATGAGAGTATAAGAGGCCAGGATGGGAGAATGTAAGAAAATTATCAAGGGCTCTGCTAGCCTTTATTTTCACTTGCGTCCAAATTTAATGTCATAAATGAAAAGAGGTTTTTTTTGTGTGCCATTAAGTGAGCAAATGAGAAATGTTTATTATGTTTGGAGCTTGTTATTATTCAGGAAGAAGAACAAAAGAAATCTACCAGAATTCTACCAGAAAACTATCAGAATCCCACTTTTAAAATAAAAAGTTTGTAAAAACATGTCTCAAATAGCTTCTTGACATTGAAGAGAACCTGGATGGAATGTTCTTAGAAGCAGCTGAATTGAAAGAAAATCTCACAGTAGATTAACATTACCAAAATTTGCTCTGAATGCATACAGGAAGGAAAAGTACAAATATTTTTCTATGTGTAAAAACTTTCATTTTTATACCTGTTTGGAAAAAGACTCTGGCAATTGTAGTGCGACACAGTGGACATGGTGTGCTGGCTGGGTTGTCTTTGGCAAGCATCCTTAAGCAAGGCTCACAAAAGATATGGTGGCATGGATAGCACATGTAAGGATTGAAATAAACATCCAGACACACAGCACAGAGATAGCTTTCTTTATCTCCTCTGAGTTCATGCTCATCATCTGTATGCAGGTTATCATTTGCAGGCTGCAAGAAGAAAAAAATAACATATTTTCACATTTAGCTCATAACTCTTTTTGATAAACCAATTGTCTGGAAGGTCATTTTCAGTAGTGCTTAAGAAGATAGTACACACAGGTGGTATTCTTAAATTTAATACATGTTACTTTTAACAAGATGATGAAACAAAACAGAAATGTCAGAAAAAATCCTCTGTGGGAAAGACAAAAAATCACAAGACAGTAAAAGAAGGAAGTAACAAAACCAAAAAGGCTGAGTAAAACTGTATTATGATCACATTTCTTCTTTTAAAATGAATTTTAACAATTTATATGTATCTGCATTACAAAACTCATAGAGACATAGAATGGTGTGGCTTGAACAGGACCTTAAAGATCATCTAGTTCCTACCGGCCTACCATATGCCTTTCACTAGACCAGGCTGATCAGAGCTCCATCCAAGCTGGCCTTGAACATTTCCAATAATGGCATATCCACAACTTCTCTGGGCAACCTGTTCCTGCGCCTCACCACCCTCACAGTAAAGAATTTTTACCTAATATAAAATCTAAACTTACCCTATTGCAGTCTGAAGTCATCCTCTCTTGTTCTATCACTATATGCCCTTGTAAATAGTCTCTCCATCTTTCTTTTAGGCTACCTTTAGGTACTGAAAGGCCACAATTATGTCACCCTTAAGCCTTCTCTATTCAACCCAAATACTCAATGAACCACAACAAACTTTGAACAAACCAAATACGTAGTCTTTCCTCATAAGAGAGGTGCTCCATCCCTCTTTGTTTTTCTGGCCTTTGTCTGAACCTGCTTCAACAGCTCCATGTCCTTCCTGTTCTGTGACCCCAGAGCTGGATGCAGCCCTGCAGGTGGGGTCTCAGCAGAGCAGAGGGGCAGAATCCCCTCCCTGCCCTGCTGCCCACACTGCTCTAGATGCAGCCCAGCACACGTTTGGCTCTCTGGGCTGGGAGTGCCCATGGCTGGGTCATGTCCAGCCTCTCAGCCACAGCACCCCCAAGCCCTTCTGGGCAGGGCTGCTCTTGATCCCTTCATGACTCAGCCTGTACTGATACCAGGGCTTCCTCCAACCAGGTATAGCACACTTTTCTTGGTTGTTGTATTGCATTATTTTATTGTTATTAGATGGTTTGTTCCATTGTTTGTTACCCCCTCCCACCCCGTTATAATTCCATTGCCCTAATTCCCGCCTTCCCTTGATCAATCAACCCAAGTCCCAACCCACCTTCCAGTACCTTCCCTGTCCCTCACTCTAGTCCCTGCCCCAGAGATTGTCAATCCCTCCTAGCCCCTCCTATCCTTCTAGTATCTTCTGTATCAGTCATCCCCTTCTTAGCATATGATTTGATGTTACATGTATTTCCCCGCCTATGTTTCCCCTATTCGTTGTATGTATAATCAGCCCCGCCTTATGTTACACCCCCAAACTGTAGCAATTGGTTCTGTATTGTACCTGCCCTTGGGGGAGGGCCCCTATTTAAGTTGCTGCACAGCTGTGTCCCCTGCCTTCTGTGGTTCCCTTCCCCCGATCCCGGTTGTCCTTCCTCCCTCAATAAATCCTGCTTCCCCGGAACCTCAGAAGGACTCTCTCTCGATGCTTTGCTCCTCCCCGGACGCATGTACGGCCGTTAGGGTTCAGAGCCCTACCCACATTCTGGGTTCCCCTGAATCCTGGAAGTGGGCCACTCTCGGCGCTGGTCTTGCCTTCAGGAGCTAGCTGGGCGAGTCGGTGCGGGGTGGAGAAGGCGGGCCGCGTCAGTTGGCGCCCAACGTGGGGCCACTTCGCCAGTGACCCCACAAAGAACTTCCAAGGATCCGAGGATCTGGAAGTGTTGGCCGTTAGCTACCCCGGTGACAGCAGGCTGATTCCGGCAGCATTCCCAGGGGTGAGGACAACAACCTTCCAGCACCAGGAGGGCTGTCCTCGGGGGAGGAGACCTTATCTGCAGCACCACGCTCGGGACCATGGGAGGGTAAGTATCCCCCAGGGACCCTAGGGGTGAAAGGGACTTACCGGGGCTGGCCACCCCATGGTGAGGGCAGGGAGCATTGCCCCAGGAGGGGGCAGTGAGCTCTAGCCCCAGATGGTTCTCCGAGCCCTTATTTTTAGTTTTTTAAGTTGTCCTTTGCTGCAGGCAGGGGTGGATTTTGCTGTGCCGACCAGTAAGATCAGAGTATGGGTGCTAAATTGTCGGCACAGCAGAGAGAGATTTACAACCAAGTTGTGGGTACCCAGGTGGGAGAGAAGAAAAATTTTTCTAAGGCAAGTTTAAAAAAGTTCGTTAGATTGCTCACTTTCCATTTTCCTGAAGTGTCCCCTTAAAGTATAAAAACTGTCTCCTTTTGGGACGCGGTGGGCTCGAGGTTATCAGAGTTAGGGGCCCAGGGGGACTATTCAGTTGGAAAATTCATTGTGTTGTTTTTTACAATTCGGTCTGTTCTAAAAGAGAATAAGGGAGTGGACAGTAAGCCAAAGCGAACCTCCCCAGTTTATCCTGTCTCTCCTTTCCCTTTTCCCGACTCCTCAATCCCTATACCAGGGGATCTGTGTGGGGCAGCGCAGCAACGATCGCAGGCAAGCCTGGCCAGGGAAACCAGCCACTGCTCGCCTGCCCCCCCGCAGTCTCCCCAGTTCCCTAGCCCTGGCGGCAAGGGCCCTGCTGCCAGGGATCCTTTCCTAAATCACTCTGCCCTGAAACCTTTTTCCCGTTTCCCCAGTTATTACCCCAGTTCCATCTCCAGTTTTCACCCCTATCCTTGCACCTGCTCCTACCCCGGGACGCA